TAGCCACTATCTTTTGGAGCCTTTTTATAAGAATTGATATGCTCATCGAAAATCTTGTCATTTGATGAATTTGTACTAATTCGTTTACTGATATATAATATATATTTAATTATAGATATATATTTATTTATATATGTATATATAAAGGATTGGTGTTGGGTTTTTTATAAGGTCTGTAATTATGTAATTTTTATTTAAAAAACATTGATAAGATGGAAGATAACTTTTTTTTTTTTAATATAATTTATAATTTTTAAGCCCATGCTTTTATTTTTTTTATATAAAAATTTCTAATTTTATCTATTTTGAAGTTAGTTGAGTTTTAATAACCATAAGAAGTTCTGTACAAATTTTGTCATTTTAACTGAATATATGGATTGTTAAGGTGGATGTATAATATAAAAAGTTATTGAGATTTTTTTATTTTCCAAAGACGATAAACAATATATGTAAATTCGAAACTAGGAATCTATTCTGACCAATTTTTATATAATTCATTTTTTGAAAAATAGAATAAAATTCTACGAACACATGTAAAATTATATAATGGGTGGCAAAGTCCAAGTCGTTTTCAAAAAAATAGTTATTTAGATATTGATATATATATATATATATATATATATATATATATATATATATAATTATAAACCTTTTGAATTAAATCAGGAAATAACGATAATAAAATATTGGAAGATAAGCCAATCCTTCAATATATATATGCGACCTTTCGGTATCTAAACACTATTCGACTAAATAATTTCCCAACCCTTTATTTAAAAAAAAAGATGTCAACTTGAAGTACAATTGAAACAAAAGGAAAAAAAAGAAAGGGTATTGAAATACGAATAGAGGGGAGGGGCTTATGAAAGAAATGTACGAAACTTTTTCATCCTGGTTTGTACGTACTGAAAAGGAACTTTTTTTATAGTGTATGCATCGTGTCATTATTTCTGATCTCTCATTTATAAGGTTTTTCTGGTCTATAAATAAAACAATCAACTTTTCTTCCAATGAAAGTTTGCATATATCAAATAAAATAAATAAGGAAATATTTTTTAATATTTCCCAGTTTTAACCGGATCTTTGTTATTTTTTTAAATTTCCATACACAGCAGGCTAGTCTGGTATAATTCTTAATGATTTCTAGCTTGATTATACCATCTCGACTTATGATTATACCATCTCGACTTATGATTATACCATCTCATCTTGAAGCTACCTTCAGTACACCATACGTATATTTTACTGTGGCCATTTCTTTTACTTCTGCATTGTAAATGACTCCTTCAGTTTTACAAACTCCATCTAATGGACGTCTACTTTTATTTCTACAGTTATATGTTTCAATGTTAAGATTATCTTGCTGTTAACTGTATCACCCCCCCCCTTATATTTTATTTCACATTGTGCGTTTATTCATTTCAAATAAAACATTAGGAAAATTCATTTTTAAATAAAACTTTAGGAAATTATTCAGCTCGAATCGGTTAAAGAAAACAAAAGATAGAAATAAGGTAGCGTGATCGGCTGACCTCCTAATTTTGTATATATATATATATATATATATATATGTGTTTAAGTGTGTGTCTGTGTTTGTGTGTGTGACAAATGCTATTAAAAACGCAAGGTATTTTGTATCGATTAATTATAATTCGATAAACTTTTCCTGTTTTCCTAACGACATTTTCCTGTTTCTTTATATTTTGCTTATTTTTGGGATGTATCCTATCTTTTAAAAATTTCAGTGGCTTTTCCTTGATAATTGTATCGCTTCCAGATATATAATATATTGTGCTTATAAATTCGTAACTCGCATCTTTTGTTTAAATAAATTACAATCATGCATTCTATTAATTACAATTGTTGCACGTGACCATTCTTCCTGCCACACTTTAATACCTTCTGTAAAAGTTTCCACAGTATTTTCTTCTATGTCTCTCATTAGCACGGTGCCATCGGTATTTTTAATGATAGTGCCCACCAATCGTAAATCGTAGTAAGACTTTAGTTTGCTAAGGATTGCCTCGCTTTATATGTTAAATAAATCTGGTGAAACGGCGCTTCATTGTCTTACGATACTTTATTTTTGTATTTAATATAAATAAATCCGTATGCAGGCGATTTACACCACGTATAATATCTGGTTTATTCTTACGATATCATTCATACAATGCAAGGCACAACTTCCACACATATATGAGGATATTTTAGATAGATAACATTTTTAACCTAGTATTGAAGAGTTTAAGATTCTTTTACGACATATCAACACCCTTTCGGTCATTTGATGCCGAAATTAAATTTTCTTGTGAGCTTTGGTAATTTTCTTCCAATAATGTACTGCTGGATATGTGATACTATTTGTTCTTACTACAGTAAAGCATAGGAAAGTTTTCTTACGGATAGAAGGAGCGATATACCGAAGACTTTGAAGTGTTAATACCTAAAATCCGTGGGAGAGAATTGACGATTTAATTCACATATGGACGACACCTGAAACTGATGTATCAAAGGTTTGAATAATGGAAAATAACCCAGACATAGATAGCAATGATGAATAACAAGTGTTTACGCAGCTGAAAATGCAGGCTGTAATGCAAAAACTTCGTTTGGAGCGGTACAGGGAGCCGACGATTTGATTGCATCCTGGTTGAAAGTTGATTTGAAATATCAGGGGGGATCGGGATGATCCACTCACTTTCATTGAGGCATTTATAAAACCAATTAGTTGAGAGGGTCATTGGGGATTTCCCAAGAATGAGGAGAAATAAGTCTGACAAACTCTGACCATCGAGAATTCCTCAGGTGCGTCCGTAAATAGTCGTACATTGAGCGAATGTCAATATTTATAAATGTGCGAAGTGAATTTGGCAGACGTTTGACGGAGAAGAAGACAGGGTTGGACGTCAGAGAGTTCGTCCCAGAGGGATGGTCGTGATTGACCCCTAGGATTCTAGCCGACTCACCCCATTGATAACTGGAAAAATGGAACTACCTACCAAAACAGCAACACAAACTTTACCAAGTCAATAATAATATTACTTCTGATTTAGACGCGGGTTGTATTGATAATTAATGAATTGATATAAACCATTTGTTGTTGAAGGGCTGATATAAAACAGGATTTAGTTTTGTTCAATTTATTTGAAAGTTTTTTTTTTCCTGAGATGTCATTTCGCACAGCTTTAATGTCAAAAAACGAAGAAGAATTGCAACGTCTTCACACATAAACCTTATAATCAAAGTTAAATCAGTTTGTGGGATGGGGCAGGTGTGAGATGTTGATTTATCGATCAGCTGCAAAGTGCAGGTCTTGGACGATCGGGGAGGGTGTTTTTGATTACATATGAATTTGGAACTTTTTTTTTTGGTTTTGGTGTGAAAATGCAGTTTGGTCTAGTATACAGATTTATATTCTAAAAATTTAAAAATTCTCCTGGTCGAAAGTTGAGTTGAAATAACAAGAAGAGGGTGGATAAGCCACCAATGCTCATTGAAGAGATTTATTGAGAGGTAATAATATGAGAGGGAATTCGGTAGAAGAGTCCATAAATAGAATGCGCGAAGAAAAGTCAGTAGAAGAGGCGAGACAGAGACAGGAGAGAGGCCCACGTGATTATCTGCCGGTGAAAGCCTCCGATTTTAGCCTTGTGTCAAACTTTGCCAAAGCAGCAACCTAAACTTTACCAAGTCAACAAAAATATCACTTCCAATTTAGACACGGGCTGGGCTGATAATTAATTGCATGCGAACTCTGACTGATATAACTAATTACTTTACGAAGGACTGATATAAAAACAGTATTTATTTTTGTTCAAATTATTCGTGTGTTATTTGGTTTTCCTGTACGTCTTCGCCTTGCTTGCAGTAGCCTGACACGGAAATACCTGTGACGATTCGATCTTGGCCTCCTTAGGATCAAACTTAAATCACAACGTGGGATAAGGTAGGTTTGAGTTTTTCATCGATCTTCACGAATCAGCCGGGCTGTTGGAAGTCTTGGGCGACCGGAGAACGAGTTGTACGATTACAATATATATATATATATATATATATATATATTAATTTACTTTGAAAATTTAATGCTGGAAATTTTTCTAATGTATATATATTTTCGTTTTGACCAGAAATTAGGGGGTTCAATATTTGCCCACAGTTGGGACCCTAACAGGTGCTACCACCTCGGGTCATGTGCACCTGGAAACAACATCAAATAAGAGGTGATTCCACGCTCTTTAAAACTTTCTGATCAGATGCCTTGCTGCCGGATCTAGTTTACCGTCGTACCCAGGACGATAGTAGACAGGGAAACATCATCTCATGACTTTGTCTCGCAAAGCAGCAACTCTCGGGGGAAGATCTTCGAATTGAACGCGCTTGTTTTACCGCTGGATGGTTCGGTACTGTGTTCCTGACATGACGGTTCATAGACGTCAATGTGTGAACTAATGAAAGTGTGGAATATAGCACGTCTGAATATTTTTATGATATAGATATTTTATAATAGCTTGTGTAGAATAATCCTTTGCATATATATATATATATATATATATATATATATATATATATATATATATATATATATATATATATATATATATATATATATATATATATATATATATATATATATATATATATATCATTTGGAGAAATGCGAATGCTGATATAGTACCGACTGATCATAGATCAAAGAAAAATCGATGGTTTCCTAATATGGATGCAATCAATATATCTTTCATTTTACTACTTGATATGTCTTTGATAGATTTTCTCGTGTGATCGAAAATCCAACAAAACTATGTGGTGGTTTTATTTGAAAGACTGATTGAAGTAAAGTCTCTTTTCTTTTATGTCCTTGCCAAAACTTAAAAAGCAACAGGAAGTGCCTGAAGATTGACTCATCATAAAACGAAGCAAAAAAAAAAGAAAAAAGAAAAAAAAAAAAAAGAAAGCATCTTAGCTCGACAAATAGCGTTCACTTTCTACGGTTACTATTTCTACTGATGCGGGCATGATGCTTTTAAGAGATCTGCAATAACCATCTGAAAGAAGAAAATGAGAAAAAAAAGGCAAGAAAAATTTAGAATAAGAAGGAAAGATGAAGAAACAAGATGGCGCAAGAGAATAAACATTGGAAAAAATGTGAAAAGGACAAAAAGAATGTAAAAAGGAAAGGAAAGAAAAAAGGACGTAAAAGCGAAGGAATATACACAAATTGTGGGCGAAAATTTAAAAAAGAATAAATTAGGAAATGAAGCAAAAAGAACGAAGGAAAGACGTTTGAGAAAAGAAAAGGAATAAAAAAGCAGAAAGACAACGAAACGAATGCAATGAAAAAGAGAATGGGAAGAAAAGGAAGAAGGAAAAGAATGAAAGAGAAAAGGTGAATAGAGAGGGAAGAAGTAATGATGAATGAAAACAAAAGCGTATGAATATATATAAGTAGGGAAAGAAAGAGATTGCAACAACAAAAACAAAATATAAAGAAAATTGAAAAGACAAGAAACAAACGATGAAAAGGCAATGAAGTTGTAGTAGTAGAGGGTGAAAAATGCCGAGAAAAAAAGGAAATTAAAATAAGGAAGAAAAGGAATGAAAAAGAAGGAATAAAAAAGAATGAGAACAGAAGGTAATGAAAAAGATAAGTAAAAGAAGGAGACATGAAAGGGAATGTAAAAAAAAGTAAAAGAATGAGAAAAAAGGAGAATGAAGAAGAGAAATAAAAGAAGGAGACATGGAATAGAATGAAAAAGTACAGCAATGAAAGAGTGAGAACAAAAAGGAATTAAAAGGAAAAACGAAGTAGAAGAATAAAGAAAAAAACAGTTGACCTTATAGATCAGGAGGAGAAAAAAAAGAGGAACGTGAATGAAATTGAATATCAAGAGAAAGAAAAAAGAGCAAAATCATTGGAATAAAGAGAAATAAAAAAAAATGAGAAAGAAACGAATACAAAAAGAAAAACGAAGAAGAAAGTCCAGAGATTTGACATTATTCGGATTTTGTGCAGAATCTCATAATGGAATGATTTCTCTCTGACCAGAATTCATCTTCGAATTTGATCAATGGACAGTTCCGATGGCGACCCGTATTTCAGAAGATTGAAATCAACCAACAAATTATTCTGATGCCGACGAACTTCTGCTACTTTTTTAAACTTTAACTTCCGAAAAGGGATAAGGTTCTTTTTCCCATTTCCCTAATAAATCATTTTTATCACAAGTAATCTACAATCGCCTGAAGAAATACAATCATAGTATTGAAACTTGATAGCTTTTTTGCAGTGATGTAAAATTTTTTATTATAATCTATTATAATAAAAAATATTATAATAATATTTTGTTCTACTTTTTATTGAGCATTTTCTTTAATGTAAATGCTACGAACTACGGATTTTTGCTCCATCTTTTCTTTTTCTTTTATTTATATATATATATATATATATATATATATATATATATATATATATATAGGAGATGGACAAAGTTCGGCAATTATTTTAAGACATTTTATACATTCTTTTTTTATAGATACAAATATTTAAGTAAATGCTCAGTTTATAATAAACAGTATTAACATTTACCGGCCTGAAATGTCCGAGAAATTTTCATAGAAAATATGCGTCCTCCGACAGGAATCGAACCTGTATTCTATACGGAACCCTCATATAGCCTGACGTGGTTTTACCGATTTCGTCACAGAGGAGTGCTTCGGTTATCTCTGTGGCGAAATCGGTAAAAGCACGTCAGGCTATATGACGGTTCCGTATAGGATGCAGGTTCGATTGCTGTCGGAGGACGAATATTTTCTATGACAATTTCTTGGACATTCAGCCCCATAAATACTGTTTCAGAGCATTTGCTTAAATATTTGTATCTATAAAAAAAAGAATATATAAACATAAAAATGTCTTTATATATATTTATATTTTAGATGTGGCACAAGTCCGAATGTAGGGGCCACCAACATTCGGCCTTGTGCCACAGCTAACCTAAACTTGGAATATCACTATATATATATATATATATATATATAAATATAATTCTTGCTCCTTTTTAATTCCAATTGTTCTGACATTAGCGTTCATATCATTTCCGTGAAATTTTTGGAAATCTTTGAAACCATTGCTGAATCGAGCAAAAGAAGATCCTTATTCAAATATTTAGCTGATTTTGATAGTGTCCGCATTTACATTTTTTCATCCATATTCTAACTTATAAATAGCTCTCCACAACTACCTATCCTTTCAAGCACATTAAGGCTGATCTTTCGCTATGTTACCACTGTTAGATATTTCATTTATTATTCCTGTAAAGGCGAAATCATCTACAGGTTACTCGCATCTCTATTGCAATTCTATCTGGTCCTACAAAAGCTACCTTAATATTTATTTCCAAATTAAGCGAGGCCCGGTGCCTGCTTCAGCGCAATGGTTAGCTAACTCGCCTTCTAGACCTAGTTTAGTCAGTTCTGTGATATCAGGATCCTGACTAGAAAAATAAGTAAATAATCAACTCTATCGACAGTCAAGCAGTTTCTAGGACAACGAATTGCCGCATAATCAGAAATTTGGCTGCAGACAAACTGATAAAACCTGCTTAATATAGCTTCAAATATCAATATTGGTTTGGCGATAGTGACGATCTAAAACCCGATGTTTAAATTCTGTTTATCAGATGACATAAATCAATAGTAACCGTAGGAAAACATGAACAGCATTGAAATGTTTACTACGGGGATTTTCAGTCTGATGTAACGAATTCTATGAGTTTGCCCACACAGTTAGGACTTTGAAAACATAAAACATATTTGTTTGCTTAAAGAGAAAAGTTTTTGATTTTTTTTTGTGGGATTCAGTTTATTTTTACTCCGATGTTAAATTTCTGACGCCAGAAGAAAGAAAGAAAGAAAGAAAGAAACAAATAAACACATTTTCTCAGATAGAACGACGATTTTTCATATTTTCTTGATTTTAGATAAAATCTTGGAAATTTACCAAAAATGTTTCAGTAAAACTTCCATTTTCAAAAATTACATGGTTGGTTAATTTTGTTTTGCTGCATATCAATTTCTATGGGTTATTTGATGCCAAAATCTAAATATTTTATACGCAATTTTAATGCAACGAGATTGTCTAGCATTCAACGCCATATATGAGATTGCATATCACATAATGATTCGGTTCTCTTTATATCTAATCCCATTTTCCTATATCTTAATACTTTGCTTGGCTTCTGGAAGGCACCTTTAGCTACACCTATGTGCCTTCGTACTTCTGCGTGCTAAATGTTTTGCTCTTTTTTTTTATTGAATTTCCACACTGCACCCATCCAGTGCTGTACACAGACCTGTGCTTGGGGTGTTAAGGTTTCAAGATTATTAAGTGTGCATGAATCTCCAAGATTGGGGCAAACTAGAAGATGCTCCATAGTTTGTAAATGTCCGTATTGGCAGTTGGGATCATCATCGGTGACATATCCTATTTTCTGAAGGTTGGTTCTCCATCGACCAACAGCTGTTCGAAGGCGATTCAGGCGAAACCGGAAGGGCTACGCATCACTGAGTCAGTGTAGAGGGAATCTGTAGGGCTGAGAGAAAAACTGTGTTCCGTGTAGTTAGGGTGGCTGACTAGGAGCTCGACAGAATGTAGACAGCTGAGTATTGACTAAATCCTCTTTGTCACTGCTTCACAGCCGTGGAGTGGATGACGAGGGTCAGTTTCCTACTTCCACCGAAAGAGCGTTCACCTCGGGGTCCCTGTTAGATGAGTTCTCTCATTTGTCAACCCTTCGCTCACGCTACACTACACGCTATCCTTACATTTTACGGTATCGCCATATGTGCTGCTTCAAGTCTCTTCTTCATCTGGAAGGGGATTGTCCAGAATTCATTCTCATATAGCGAATCAATGTAGCTCTCTTTTCTTTGTTCCCAACTATATTTCCCTGAAGACTTTGCTTAGTTTCGTAAAGGCATCTTTCTCTATTCATCTGGGCCTTCGGGTATCCGTGTCACATTATCTATCGTACTACACAGCTGAGCTACTTAAATTTCTGTAATCGTCAATTTCGGCACACCATTGACTTACAGTATATGCTCACTATATTCTCGAATTGCTATTAGTTCTCTTCTTCTCCTCCTCCTCTTCTTCTTCTTCTTCTTCTACTGCTTCCTCTTCCTCTTCTTCTTCCTCTCCTGCTGCTTCTTCTTCTTCTTCTTCTCCTCGTCTTCTTCCTCATCATCCTCTTCTTCTTCTTCTTCTTCTTCTTCTTCTCTTCCTCCTCCCCCTCCTCGTCTTCTTTCTCATCATCCCCTTCTTCTTCTTCTTCTCCTTCTTCTTCCTCCTCCTCTTGTTCTTCCTCTTCTTCCTCTTCTTGTTCCTCCTCGTCGTCTTCTTTTTCCTCCTCCTCCTCCTCTTCTTCTTCTTCTTCTTCTTCTTCTTCTCCTCCTCCTGCTTCCTCTTCTTTCGCTACTTCTTTCTCTTCCTCTTCTTCTTCTTCTTCTTCTTCTTCTTCTTCTTCTTCTTCTTCTTCTTCTTTTTCTTCCTCTCTTGCTCCCTCTTCTTCCTCTACTTCTTTCTCTTCCTCTTCTTCTTCTTCCTTTTCCTTTTCCTCTTCCTCTTCTTCTTTTCTTCTTCCTCCTCTTCTTCTTCTCCTTCCTCATCATCCTCTTCTTCTTATTATTCTTCTGATTCTTCTTCCTCCTCCTCCTCATTTTCTTCTTCTTCTTCTTGTTAGTCCTCCTCCTCCTCCTTCCTCTTCTTCTTCTATGTGCAGTGTCCCTTCAAAATATGGGGACTATGGTTCTGAACAATTTCTTATCCCCAGTAGTTCTTAGTAAGATTTGTCTTTTAGCTATACTTCCCAATATCTGTTCTGCCATCTCTTTACACGGGCCCGTTATATAGGTTATTTGCAGCTTTCTTCTGTCCCTCTTGCTTTTAGTACGGCCTGTGAATGCCAAATTCACCGAGCCCACATTCCTGATGTTATGTCCAAGAAACGTCGACTGTCACTTTCTTATTCTAAGTATAACTGTCTTTTTTGTTTCCATTTTCATTAAAACTTCATCGTTACTCACATATTCAGTCCATGGAATTCTTCTTATACAGACCGACATTTCATGCGCCTCAAGAGTCTTCTTCATCTGTGACGACGTTGTTCAACATTCATGACCATATTCATCCATATTAGCATTCAATCAGGTCGATACTTGTCAGGCTATGCAGAAATGTTCGCGACATTAAAATGCCAGCAATCAAGTTGTCGGATTCAAATTTTAGCAAACTTTGATCTTCGTGCCCAGAGAAAAAAAACCCCTAAAAAACCATCAATAACAACAAAAAAAAAAGAGTGTCAAAGAACTTCTTTTAATTGACACCGCAATTATTTTAACTGCCTTTCCTCAACAATGTTTAGTGTTTTAAAAAACGATGATTAGAATTGTAATGAAATCCAGACTTATGATGAAAGTGAATTTATACTCTTTTTTGTTCTCAAGAATTTACAACAAAAATATTAAACACTGTTTATTCTTGAGATTTTTTATTCGCAAGAATTATTTATATTTGCAACATTCTAAAAACTAATACATTTAGAACTAATGCAATGCAATATTTATCATTTAAAAAATTTATAAAGAAATAAATATGAAAAGAATTTTTATTCATGAATTTATATTTATTAAATTATTATAATTTGTGAACAAATATCAAGGAAATCTTTATTATTTACCATTTTTATAAAGCACGAATTAAATAGAAATTAGCCCGTTCTTTGCCAGCCAGCCTAATAAATAATATAATAAGTAAATAGTCTTTATTATTTTTGTTGTCATTTCTCAAGAACAAATAAATTGTATAAATTCCCTTCCACATGTTTAGGACTTATTACAGTTCTAATCATCAATTTTTAAAACAATAAACATTGTTGGGGAGAGAAGTGAGTTAAAATATTAATGGGGGTCAATGAAAAAAAAACGTTTTTTGACAAA